CTACCAATCTATCTCAAATACAATACCTCCAAAAAGATTCACAATGTATTATAAATTGGTGAAGTTATCAAAGATTCAAAGTGCAAAAATGGGTGAAAAATGTTTAAATTCTCCCAAATAATAAGAATGGTGACCATTCTTATAGAAAAATAATACATTATTGTAAAAGTCTTTTGTTTTTCTTAAATAAAGTATGCACTTTTGTGATTTTTAGAAAATAGACATGACAAGGAATGACATGAGCCAAAAATATTCCAAAATTGAAACAATTTTTTGTTTAGCCTGCTCGCTATCTCTGATTCTCTCTTTAACTATATTCAAGTTTTATTCATGATGTATTTTTGATGCAAAGTTTTAATTTTCAAATTTTAACTGTATTTCTTTTTTAAATTTTACTATGACTGTATCTTTCATATCTTTCTCTCATTTTTTGTGTTTTCAATGTATAAAACATTCAATGTAATTATGAGCAGGAATGCTCCCCTGCCACCTAGTCTGGTAGGACAGGTTGTGGAAACAAATGGTCATAAAATAGAACTTACATATGAATAATTGTTGACTTATAGTTTTATCATGAATTTTGCATTTGCCGTTTATATTATAAAATGATAAAATAAAACTGGTATACGTTCAGTCTAATCATTATTTATCAGAGTTTGTTTGGTATGCTTTCAGTTTACTATTGAAAATCATAAGTAAAACAGGTATACTTTCAGTATATTCATTATCTTCATACCTATTTACAGATCTATATTCAGTATACAGGGTGTCCCAAAAAAAAGGAAACCAGCAATCGATTGCTTATTTCTCAAATATGAATAATGATAGGAAAATTTCTTAGCTACCATCTGATAGATTATGATGTCCTCTTTCTTATGATACCAAAGTTGTCTATTTTTCTTCACGGATGACTGAGTTATAAGGGATTCTAGTGACCATGTCAGAAATGAGTTTGTACCACTTTCAGCCAAGTCAATTTCACCATCATAACAAAGTGCTAAGTAACAACAAACATCAGGATATCACTCTTTTACTAATTTATTCCAATTGAAATTACACATATCATATTTAACACCCCTTTTAAATCCCAATGTCCATTCAAAGTTGTTTTAACCCCAGTGTCCTTCAACATGACCCCCATTCCTTTCAATGCAAATGTCTTCCCTTGATCTCATCGCACGTACTGCATCCCTGATGATGTCTCTCTGTCCCCTTAGATCATCCACTGCTGAGACAATCCTGGCCCTTAGATCATCAACGTCTCTTGGTGGTGTTGTGAAGACTTTACCCTTGAGATAACCCCTAATGAAGAAGTCGCAGGGTGTCAGGTCTGGGGATCTCGGTGGCCACTCAATCTCGTGGTTCAAGGCAATCACTCTTCTGAAGGCTCCCACTTCTGAGCCACTCACTTACTACGAATACTCTTTGAGTTTGGGTCAGCTGCATGACTTGCTATGTTGAATGCTTGTTCAGAAATGTGTATTTCGAATGGGACATGGTCTTGCATAGCCATTTTAATCCCTCATTGTTCAGCTATTCATGACAGAAAAAGTGGCACAAACCAATTTCTGATATGGTCACTTAAATCTCTTAGAACTCAGTCATCCATGAAGAAAAATAGACAACTTTGGTATCATAAGATAAAGGACATCATAACCTATCAGACGGTAGCTGTGAAAATTTCTTTTTATTATTCATATTTTAGAAATAAGCAATCTATTGCCGGTTTCCTTTTTTTTGGGACACACTGTATATACCTATTAATTGGTATGGTATCAGTCTGGTATCAGTATAGACCTATCAACAAGGTATACTTTTAGTATACTTTTGGTATAGAGTGACTATACCTGGCAATAGGCTGGGATATTTGAGAAAATGCATGGGGGAAGATTCAATCCTTATAGACACAGGTCCTTTTAGCAAAATTCAGGAAATTTGATTTTGAGATTTCTTGAAATTTATTTGGGGTAGGGGTACACCTTACAGTTTGCATCACAGATTGAGTACACCCAACTGAGGTGAACATGGCCATATGGGGTATCATTGGAAAGCGATTTCTACTATCTTTCGAGTGATATCCATGTCAAGGTGTTCAATTGCATATTATGACGTCATAACGGTAGGGAGAAACAAAGGTTCATTCAAAACTGCCCAGAAGACAATTGAATGGCACCGGAGAATGGACTTCGGGGTACTAGGCACAATGGCCTCGCCCCGAAAACACCAAAGTTTCTTCAAAATGTCACGATTTTGGTACCATTGTTCAGCTAAGATACTGTCCTTTAATATGATATGCGCTATTAGGCTTCTTAATGAACTTAAAAATCTCAAAAGGGGACAAAACCTACAAAATACCCCAAAAATGCCCATCTATCGTCAGATTTCTCAGAGAATTCTGGTAAAATTACCAAGGTCAAAATCACTCCGCCGCCAGCTTAAAATGAGATTTCCCACTGAACTTCGACATGTTTTCAGATAAATCAGGACCTACCTTATAAATATTTAGTCCCAATTCACTTCCCAAACGCCAGATGGCGCTCCAATAGGTAGGAAAGGAGAAAAATTACTTTTTATACAGAAAACCAAATCACTAATGGTAACCGCTAGTGTCCTTACTCAGGACTATATCCTGTTATTAATACAGCTGTTAAAGAGGCTCTATGCCATAGGATAGCACAATCAAGACCCCTCTGGACTTTTTTGCATATTGAGTTTCACCACATATATACCCATCTACTTACCAAAGAAGAAGTCCCAATTTCCCCTCTGTCAGTGTTAATTTTGCGATTGTGCTGGCCGATCTAATTATTTTCGAAGAAATTAATTCAATCTAAAGTTTGAATATTCCAGTAAAGTCCTCCTAGCTGTTATTTAATTGGTCTTTGAATTTGTTTATCATAAACCTGATTGGCTGCCTGGTTCAAGGCGCTTGTGGGCGCTTGTGTGACTCAATGGGGATTCCCCTCGCTAGCCGAGGAATCGATTGTGTTTAATTCTGGAGTTTGGTTGTTCTGTTGACTATTTCCCATATTTCGGCAATAATATACCCCAAAGTTATTCTCAAGATACGATATCCATAGTATGTGAGATATTGTATGAGCAATAACAATAGGACATCATTGATTGTCTGGGGGAGAAACCTATGGCATAATGCATCTTTAAAATTTCTAAACTTAACTTAAAGAGACCATTAGAAATCAAACTTAATAGAATGAGGTGTAACCTATCATTAAGGTCAGATTTCTACAGACACAATTTCGAAAACGTTTCAGATCCACACTGTCAGTGTGGATTTAATAATCAGACAAAGGTCCATTTCCTCTTGCATTGCCCTCTTACACTTGAAGCAAGGCAACATTACATCGAAAGTTTATCTATTGCTGACCGAAACTCCTTTCACTTTTCAGGTAAAAGAAGTTTTGACAAACTCAATATGATTTTATTTGGTGATACAAACCTTACAAGAGATCAAAATTCTATTATTATGAAGCTAACTGCAACATTTATTGATAAAATAATTTAGGAATTGAATTTTTTATGTACATGTACTACTTGAATCTGATCATTATTCATCATCTCATCTCATTCTCTTCATCTGTCTTCCATCATAACTGGGAGCATGGGCTTTCAATAGAAGGCCTTCTACTGAAAGCACATGTTGAGAGTAACTTATTTTCTTTTTCTGTTTCAGTAACACAAGCCAAAAATGTCATCAGACCTCGGCTTGCATTTCATACACATGGTATTTTTTTTTTTGTACCTATGACTATTGTATTATAAATGTGTTAAAATGAGATAAATTAACCTTAAAAAAAGACTACAATGAATGTAGCTTGTTTGAATCCTGAATGATCTTCTTGGGGGATGCTTTGAACATACAATCACTCTGTGTCATAAAGACAAGTGAGACTACAATATGAATGCAGCTTGTTTGAATCCAGAATGATCTTCTTGGGAGATGCTTTGAACATATAATCACTCTGTGTCATAAAGACAAGTGAGACTACAATATGAATGCAGCTTGTTTGAATCCAGAATGATCTTCTTGGGAGATGCTTTGAACATACAATCACTCTGTGTCATAAAGACAAGTGAGACTACAATATGAATGCAGCTTGTTTGAATCCTGAATGACAAGACCTTGACAAGACCTTGATGATCGCTACTTAGAAAAAATGTCGAAACAAAACTCTGAAACATGAACAATTCCTTCATTCATTATGGACTATTTTGAGATACTTTGTAATATTAATTTAGTATGATGTGAGAAGCACCAACTGATAGATATTTATTTGGAGGATGCATCGAATTACAAAATGGGTCACATTTTCTGCATTTTAGTGTAAGTACTCTCGTTAATACTTGGTTATTCCTTGATATTTCCTGAGCTCTGTGAAGCGGGATGGGAGCTTATTAGAGGTTGGCCCTTAATATGGTGATTACGGTAGTCATATTTATTTGGCGACTTAAATCTATTTTGGCAGATTACAAACATTGGCCAATTCATGTCTGTGCAATTATTTAGAAATCCCAAGAAATTTTTTCGCCCAGTGTAAAATGTTTAATTTTCAAGATCAGTCTGAATCCAATAAATTGGACTATTTTGATGTTAGAAAGTCACAATAAGCATCAAATTGGTAAGTAGAGCTAATTCATTCATTTGCCTGGATTAATTTTGAATTAATTTCACAGATATTATATTTATCTTTAGGATACTAAATTCGCCAAATTAAATCTTAGCCAATTTGCAAATTTTGCCTAATTCTCCAAATTAAATCGCATCAAGTTAAGTTGACTAACAGTATGTAATTGAACATCATTCTGGAAACTTATCTTTGATGAACTGATGAAAGGTAAGCAAAACAAATTGCCAAACATACTTTATTTGGGAAAAATATTAAAAAAATAAAGCAAAATGAGAAAAGAGAGTATTTTGGTGACATACACCATGCCTGGAAGACCATATTTCAAGTTGGTTTGAGCAAGAGAAGGATTCTCACCTTGGTTTTGATCTGGCATGTCATCTATTGAGCTGTCTCCCTGCATCCAACTTGCACCTTCAGTAGACTCCTCATCATATCCCCCTTCCTTCTCTCCCTCATCTAGCTCTATGGTTATAGGCTCTTCTTGTTTAATATTGACAGTGTCCAAAATTGCACTTTCATCATGAGGACCTATATGTTGATTATCAATGCCAGTAGTGTTAGTGTCGAGTCTGGCATGTTTATGAATTGGTTTACATGTAGGAGTATCTTGTGTTATATAATCTGATAGAGACCGCTTAATGGCTCCAGGAGAAAGTGATGATTCCTCTGAAAATAATCAATGGATAGTTTGAGTATTTTGCATTATACATGTATATCTATTGCAAGTACTTGTGCAATTAGCATGAATCTCAGATGATAAAATGGAATATGTATGTTTGTCAGAGTTTATTGGGCTCTGTGGCATAAACTTAGAATCTTGACATCATTTCAAAGAACCTTGAACTTACCTTTTATTGTTAACCCTCCTATAGCTTCAATCCTTCCTCCTGGTGTAACTTGTGTGGCAGTAGGCAAAGGAGAGTTAACAGGTGTCTGAGAATTGTAGAGATATTGATTAGGAGTTTGAGCTGTTGATACTATAGCTACAAGTCTATTTTCTCTGTTAGTAAACTCTCTGTTCCTCTGTGCAGGGTCATGAGAGGGTTTATATGGCAACTTTCTGGAGCTTTGATTACTACAATAATCAGAAGATGCTTCAATGTCTACTTGAGGTGACCAACTTTGTTGAATACCTTGAGATTCAGCTGGTTTCATAATGGTTCTGTGCATTTTTACAACAATTTCCCGCTCTTTCTCTCCTGGAGAAACACATATAATGCCATCTATCTCTAGTGAGGTGTTGAAGACAATGTTCTGCGTACAAAGTTTGAGAACTGCATCCTGTATCAGTTGTGTTAATACATCAGTTGAGGAAACCATTTTTAAGTCGTCAGGTAACAGCTTTCACTTGGCTTTTATCACCTGTAAATGATGCAGGAACACTTTAAACTATACATTTAGATGGAGCTGCAATCTTTGAATGAATCTTTTTTATTTGCGCATGTGCAAAAAACAAATCAGAAAAAAAAGCTTCCATAGTTTGCTTCTATTTAAAAAATGGAAAATTGAATAAGATTTACATTTATTTCATTCAGATACTGTGCTTTGCTTCATAATCGACAACATAAAGCTGATAGATTCATTCCTGAATGTTTACTAAAAGTAAGTGACAGTCTTCACTCTTGAGCTACGGTAGGTCTTATTTTTAATTCTAGCAAACTGCAGCCAGGCCTTGAAATGGGCACAAGTCTTGAGCCTATGGAAAGGGGGTTTACCACTTAATTTCATCAGGAGGCAATTTGTTTTCACTTTGCATGTTACTAATCAGAGTTATTTTCATGTTTCACATCCTTGATAATCTTAATATAACATTTATGTTTCCAGACTTGCCAACCTCCTGTTTTTTAAGGGAACCTGTAAATTTTTTGCTTTTCCGTAAAAAACTCCCATACCGTTTTCTCCCATGGTTCACTATCGATACTTTTATAAATAACTTAAAAGTACTTCATTCCCATGATTCAAATTGCTTTTCTGCGATCAGTTCGGTATAAGTTTGCACACCAAATGTCCACAAACGGGGGCCAGTTCATATTCTGTCATACTTCTGTCGGGAGAATACATTTTGTTTTTATATGGCGCTAAACAAAATATTCCCGCAATATAAGGCGCATTATGGGTAGGGACTGCTGTAAAATAATGAATGTAATTGACATCTATCTTAGATTATAAGTTCTAATTAATTTATTAACTGCACATGCGTCATTATAATTTCAACCAATTAAATCGCTGGATTTAATGCTCATGCGCGAAAAACCGAACCTGAAAATAGAACCTCACACAGATTGAAAAAGTAGAAGCAAAGTAAAAACTCCAGTTTTTTCATAAATCTACTGTAAAAACTCCCATTTTTTCAAAATCTACTGTAAAAACTCCAGTTTTTTCAGAAATCTACCGTAAAAACTCACGTTTTTTTTCAAAATCTACCGTAAAAACACCTGTTTTTTCAGAAACCTACCGTAAAAACTCCTGTTCTTTCAAAATCTACCGTAAAAACTCCCATTTTTTTAAAATCTAAAGTAAAAACTCTCATTTTTTTCAGAAATCTACCGCAAAAACTCCCGTTTTTTCAAAACCTACCTATAAAACTCCTATTTTTCAGAACCTACTGCAAAAACTCCAGTTTTTTCAAAACCTACCTATAAAACTCCCATTTTTTCAGAACCTACCGCAAAAACTCCCATTTTTTCTGAAATAAAAAAGTCACGTTTTTTAAAATATACCGCGAAACATACCTTTTTTAAAAAATCTCCCGTAAAAACTCCCCTTTTTTCAAAATTTACCGCAAAAACTCCAGTTTTTTTAAATCTCCCATAAAAACTACCGTTTTTTTCCACAAATATCAAGTAAAAACTCCCGGAAAAACTACTGGATTTTGAAAAAAACTCCCGTAAAAGTACCGCAATTTTTTTTTAAATCTCCCGAACATTTTTCATTTTAGGTTGGCAAGTCTGGTTTCATCAAAATCAAATATCAAAAAATGGCCTTATAATACACCTTACATACCCCTGGGAATTCTGATGTCCGATATAAATTCATCGGAAATCAGGGATATTTTACGAAGAAATCAAAGCGAAACACACAAGCTTGCAGAAGTTTACAGACACAATTTTGCAATGAAGACCACATCCCAGTTTGCAAATATCTTTTGGGAATTTACGGGTGCACAGAATCTCATGGCAAAAATGATCAACTGATATGAAGTATTCTCGGACGATCATATTATTAGCTTGCTGTTCTATGTAATCTATTTACTCCCAAGGAATAATATACAAACCCAAGCACCAGTATAAATGCATCGGGTTTTACATAAGACCTGACCGCCGACCAACAACCAGTCAATCTCCACATTTGGGTTGGCTGTGTTCTACCATAACAAAAATAATGACACATGGATATGCTGAAGTGAGGATTTCCCATGTTAAAAATAAGAGAATTTTCAAGTGGTCATACATCAGTGGATGACAGTATACAAAATGTAAAATATACAAATTTTAAGGGATATGTATCAAGACAATATTTGAGACAATATGGCTTTCAAAACATCATGGTTTGGATATGGTGATAGAAAATTCGCCTGTCATTTATTTTGTTCCAAACTGTATTCAAACATTCTGAAGAATTGTCAACCCTCAGGGGCTATTCAGCCATTTTTTCTCTCGTTTTACAGACATGAGACGCTTTTTAATCAATGTATATAGAAAATATAGTATCCAAGGATTCTTCTGATATGCAACTTAAGTAGTGCCAAATTGTGTCAAATGTGCTTTGAACATGTCAGATGAGAATTAAGACAACGATTTGGCATATAAGGTCACGTGACCAACTTACGTGACCAACTTACGTGACCAACTCTTTATAGACAGGCATCCGCTGCCGTTTATTTCTTAATATTCTCCTAAAGTTTGGTTTCCGTAACTTAAATAGTTTTACCGTAGTTTACATTTGATGATGTTGGAAATGTAACTGCCATTTCCTGCTCATGTGATTACATGTGCTTGTGAATAATCACATGAACATATCCTGCTATTTGATTGGACATCCTGAAGACTGCATGTTCATAATTCTGTTTACGTAGTCCATCTGGCGGGACTCCGACTTTAACGATACCAGTCAACAAAAAATTGTTAAATGAGGCTAATGGGATACTATGAGACTCTGGTATTTTTGTCCCCCACTTCATCATAGCCTTTCCCAATGGCCATGATGATATCATGGCCATTACGCATACCTATATTTATAATGACGCAGCAGCAAACTGCGATAAACTATGCACCTACCCTATCTTTTGAATGCTCCGAAATCACTCTGCTACGTTTTTAGTGAAGTAATTTGGTATTTCATGAGTAATTAGGAGATTTTTGTCAAAAATTTGGAACTAATTTTGAAAATTAAAATCCTCTTTATGCACATGCGTGGGATGCGCGTGTCAAACTTATCGCATGTTCAACTAATCGAAATCATTATTTCAATACTAGTTTAATAACTTAAACGGACAATTACTTGAATATATATAAATTATATGAATATATATGAATATATGAAAAGAATATGATATCTCTTAAGGTACAGCTGGAAAGTAACATTTTGGTAAAAAATTGCTATACCAGCACATGTTATTTTCTGGTACAAAATAAAGTATGAAGACATGTGTCAATTGCCTTGCTTTTTTCAGGAAAGTATCATTACACTGTCTTCTTTAAGAATACAGGGCTGTCAACTTGGGACCACCTAATATGAGTGACTTACAAATGTTGGACACCGAAGTCCAAATCTGAACACTTTTGTCCAAATTTTGAACACCTTTGGCCAACTTTTAAACACCTTTGGCCAAAGTTTGAGCACCTTTGCTAAACTTTTATAACCTCAAATTTTTCGCGCTCGATACGCTCGCGATGTCGTCAACGGGGGGGGGGGGGGGGGGGGGGGGGGGGGGGGGGGGGGGGTAGGCACGAACATTTCCAATGAACATGCGTGACATATACGGGATTCGCGTGACAAATCCTAACAAATTGCGTTCGTTTTTTTCCGACGTTCGTATTTTTACCGTATCATAAACATATTTTGAAAAAAATTTTACAGAAACATATTTGCGTGACAATTACCAGGTAAAATGCGTATTTGCGTGACATTTTGTGTCACGCAAATAAAACTGGCGTGACTTCAAATTCTTCAGCAAATGCGTGACAAATACGCAAATTGCGGGACAGTTGACAGGCCTGAAGAATATCTAGTAGGAAATCAATGGGAACTCCAGGAAATTCTGATATTTCACAATTTCTTTTTTTCCAAATTTTCTTTCAAAGTTTCCAGACAACACAGGAGCTACCATTGACCTGTTTCCAGGTTTACTAAAAGTAGACAGTGTAATGATACTTTCCTGAAAAAAGCAAGGAAAAACACACATGCCTTCATACTTAATTTTGTACCAGAAAATAACATGTGCAGGTATAGCAATTTTTTACCAAAATGTTACTTTCCAGCTGAACCTTAAAGAGGTTAACTCAATAACGGCCCCAAGAAAATTCCTAATAGTAAAGAACGCCGTTATTGAGTTTAACGACGTTGAACTAGATATACAGTTGGGGACATAAATAAATGACAGGTGGATTTGCTGAAGTGAGGATTTCCCATGTTAAAAATAAGAGAATTTACAAGAGGCCATAAATCAGTGGATGAGATTATACAAAATGTAAAATATACAAATTTTAAGGGATATGTATCTAGACAATATTGGAAATTATGGGCTTTCAGACAAAGTCAGCACTATCAATGGTATACTCTACCTTTAGATATAATCCTAAAAGTTCAAAAGCTTTTTGCCATTTTGTTTCACAACTGCGGTATGGTATAACTCCACTTTTTTTTTTTTTTTTAACTTTATACCAGCATGTATTTATTAAAAGTTTGTGATTATTATACAATTCTCTCTTTGTATTGCATTCCTTTTTTTATATTTAAAATTTTTTTTTATTTCAGATAATTCAAAAAAGATTACATGAATTTTAAAATTTGTTTACATAAGTTACCTGTTGCATTACATGATAATATTTCTCTTGGAGAGCTCTAATTTAAAATTATAGTACAAGACTCCACCATTGTTTTGCCGTTTCACTACTTGCCACAATCAGCCTCACTGCCAGCATATCAAACCAGGCCCATTTTCCATCAAACCTGGCCCAACTACTATCAGGTGGATGTCCTTCAAAAATCAAGTTGGCATGGTTACCAAAGCCTAATAGTTGCCATGGCAACCGTAGAAATGGGGTAAAAAATGGGAGCAAAAAAGCACCCAAACCCACCATTTTTTTATTAAAAAACTATATTTCAAATCAAAAACATATATACAGTACAATTAATACATTTACATATAAAGGTTACATGTTGTAAAATGATTTTTCCCTATTATCTATCATTTTCAAAGTTTCCTGCTCATTCAGCAGATCACATTTAAACATATGGATAGCTTTTTTTATAATCACACTTTTAAAATATTTTTCTTGTGCGAAATTTTCAATACCAAGTTTTTGTTTATCACTGAGACAATTACAATCACAGGTGTTCCAAATATTTAAAACTTCTTTACACTTCACAAAATACATGAAATAGTGCATGTCATCATCAATTTCATTATCACAATATTTACATTTATCTGAATCTTGTATTTTACACTGTTTTAGATATTTGCCACTTGGATAAATTTTATGGATAATCTTCCATTGGAAAATTTTGAGCTTATTATCTTTTGTACAATTAAAAAGTGTGTTCCACACATCCTTACTTATCAATGTATTATCATATTTAATATCACATTTTCTTGCCAAGACTAACTCTGATCGTATATACTTTGAATCTGATTTACATAATTCTCTATTTACAAATCTCAAGTTGTTATTATTCTCTTCATCTCCATACTTTGTAATTAACTCTTGTTTAACACATGCTTTTAAAATATTATACTGCAGCATGGTTTGTCAATTGCGCTGTACTTTTTGAACTATGAAATTATATGAACATAACATTCCATCTTTAACAATATCATTTATATAAATTACATCATTTTCAATCCAATGTTTAAAAAATAATGGTCCCAAACCATGGTGGGTCACGTGCATTATCTCATGGAAATGGGCATACCAGTGCAAAGATCTTTGTTCCGTGATAAAGGAAAGCTATCTAACATTGTCTGAAGAGCATTCTAATTCTACTTTTAACATGGCGACCTGGACAACATATAGCCATTTGGGCGATAATAGGTGATTCTAAAGTGAAAATGAGTGCTTTTTTCGTAGCTTTACTTTGACCAAGGCTTGCAAAAAATTGAAGTGATAAACCTTCCCCCAATTTTTGATATTTTTGTTGTCTAGAAGTGTTCTAGATGATATCAAAGTTTAAGAAAATTTGTATGTCTCGAAATATTTTGAAAATAAGTGCCATTATGGCGGGTCTGGGTGTTTTTTGCTCTCATTTTTACCCATTTCCACGGTTGCCATGGTAACTCATACCTGCCAACCTACCATATTTTTACCGGCATCTACCATAAAATATTCGTTTTTCGGTAAATAAACACAAATACCGTAAAAATTACTGTTTTTTCCTGTAAAAACGACCGGAAAAAATCTACTGTAATTTTACCAAAATCTACCGTAAAATATTTTATTATAATTCGATTTTTTCTATAAGAACAGCCTAAAAATATACCGTAAATATTTGAAAACTACAATATTTCTGCTGGAATTTAAAGTATTCTTGTTCAAACTACCGTAAAATCTACCGTAATTATCATGAAATTCTGAAAAATTGAATTCTTCTCGTATTGCCCTTGTAAAATTCCATTACCAACCCAAAAATAAATAGGTGCCGGCAGGTCTTTGATGGTGGTTATTGCGTACTTAGTAAGTAACTAAGTAAGCTGGCGTGTAATCAGTCAACACACTGGGGAATATCACGATGCAAAAACAGTGTTCAACTGTGTATCACAGGAAGAGTAATCATGATTAATTTGTAAAATGCTACATTGTAGCAATGGTATGAGTATGATGTCACAATACACTGGGGCCTAACTGGCGTAAAGGGGAGAAAAAGGGCAGATTTTCCACATGGGGACCACATTTGACTCAAAATATTTGCATTTAGCAACATACATTTCAGTACATTCTGTGTAATACTTGAAAGGCATTGCTATAATGATTTACAAAATGAGATAATCTCGGGGATTTTGCATCTAAATTTTTTGCATGAGATGTCTGAAGTTGATGACCCAATTTTAGGTCATTTTGGCCAGTTTTTAGAGACTCAGCCCTCACCTATTTCCCCAAATATGACTAGATTTTGTAGAAAATGTGTTAAAAGTTTGAAAATCCAGCTGTTTTGAGCATGAAATAACTCAATTGTTTGAAAAAAATGCTGAATGAGCATAAATTATCATGGTAAAATTTTTCCATTTTTGGATATTAAGGTGTTACTACAGTAAATACCACTTCCGGGTAGGACAGTGTTTTTTAATACTTAAAAACGAAGCCATGCCAACTTCAATGGTGTGCATAGTAGGTTTAAGGTGCCATGGAAGTTAACAGGAAATGACGAAACAGGAAGTGAAATTTTTTTTGCATTTTTAGACATTTTTTGAACAAAGATAACAGAGTTCTGGTTTGACCTCCAGTCAATTTAACTATTTCCACATATCATTTACATGACCAGGATCACAATGTGCATGGTCAGAATGACCCTAAACATGATGAAATAACCTTTTTAGCCCTTTGAAAGTGTGACTGAAAAAAAGCTAAAAGTACGAGCTAGGGAAGGTCACTGAACAGAATCTTTTGAATTTTTCAGAAAACGTGCCCAATATAATGCTCTAACTGATACAATCTTTGAAATTTTAGAAAATTTTCTTAAACAAAAATGGCGGTCATAAAAAGGAAAATAGATTGCTTTTCAAATCAGTTTTTTTCAATTTTTTTCTTTTTCTATGAATGATATCAAATTTTCAAAGATTGTATCATTAGAGCAATACATTGGACACATTTACTGGAAAAATCACAAGATTCTGTTCATTGACCTTTCCTGAGCACCTACTTTTAGCTATTTTTCAGTCACATTTTCATAGGGCGGAAAAGGTTACTTCATCATGTTTAGGGTCATTCTGACCATGAACATTGTGATCCTGGACCTGTAAATGGTATTTGGAACTAGTTGAATTGACTGGAGGTCAAAACAGAACTCTGTTATCTTTGTTCAAAAAATGTCTAAAAATACAAAAAAAATTGTCAATTCCTGTTTTGTCATTTCCTGTTAACTTCCATGGCACCTTAAGTATATGCATTGTGGCCATTTGAGGTATGTATGTAAAGCTGAGGCCAATTACTTTCTAAATGTGCCATTTTAGAAAGAAATCGCCAAAATATAGTGCCATAAACTGGAACTACTTTATTCATTAATTTTCATCGGTGAAGCAGGGATTTTACCTAAAAATGAGTCCCTATGTTGGCGTAGTGATATTTAAAACTCGAGACGCAAACCCTATGTTAAATGTATGGTCAAGATGAAGGTTATGTATAGGGGAACGCAGAAATATAGTTATTGTATGGGCTAATTCGTTCGAAAATGGCGATATGTATCCCAAACTTGAATTTTGTGATTTTTTCAATATTTTTCAATGATTTACCGTAGTGACACCTAAATGGAAATATAAACACTTCCGGTAAATATTCGGTTCAAGTGCGAATTTGGACAAACTTTTGCAAGTTTGACCAGGAAATCACCTTTCATTTGGTATGTTAGTAACGTTTTTGATCGTATTGGGTATGTAAGAATCATATACATGTCGAGTTATTAGCATAAATGTCACAGTTTGAAGGATAAATGGAAATATAACACTTCCGGGAAATATTGTCACAAAAGCCTTTTGGACTTTTAGTCTTTATATACTATTCCCTATATTTTTAGAATATACCATTGATAGTGCTGACTGTGCTTTCAGACCACCATAATTAGGAAATGGTGATCGAAAATCGACCTGTCATTTATTTTTGTCCCCAACTAGAGAGAAGCTATAGTATTTCGAAGGATATAACTAGACGTACCACTAGAGTCTTCTGTTCCACCACCAGATAACCGTATGACAGTTAGTGTTTTTGCTGCAATGATATTATGAACACGAAAAGATCAGTTTTCTTTACTTTTCAGCTTGTTTTCCAGCTATCAACCACTGGATTGTATATTCATGACACGCCACGAATTTGTGTTTCGTTAAAACTACGAACGTTCGCATAATTCAATTTGTTCCAATGAGGTTTGGATAGATGTTTAATTTCATTCCGAACATATGATGCCAAGAACAAAATAAGTGTCTAATGTGTTTTCCAAATCAATAAATAGAAAAGTTTATTTTTTTTTCAAATCATATTGTTACCGTAAAATTTTCAGATTTTTTTGATGACTGGTTTAAGAATGTGTTCAAAAAGTTCACCAAATCGATACCAATCCTTTGCAGAATAATTCTTTTTTTGTAGGTGGGTGAGATCAGCCAACTTGCCGCGAGTCCACCAATGTTATGAGTTATTTTTACATATAATGCATGTTAATGCTAAACATTAGAAAAAATACAACTTTTCCAGAGCAAGAAACAAGATCAATTATTAATCTGTGATCAGGTATTTGTCCATTCTAATCTGGTTTTTATTGCATTCGCCTCTGATTTCTGAATTTACAGATCTGATATTTATTGACGATGAACTCGTAGTAGGTAGTAGTAGGAAACGTAGTAGGAAACGTGAATATGTGGAAATTGATATGTGTATGATCCTGCCACCCCTGCAAAATAATGGACTTGCCCACTTGGTCTCTTGGATCCATTTTTGTCACAGTAAAATATATATAACCACATAAAATAGATTCATCATTAAGCCTATACAGGGTGGGCCAAAAGAAACGACACTTTTTTGTCAAGACATTATGACTTTTTTATTTTCCATACCTATATACCCACGTTTTGCAGCTATATAGTGCCAAGGGTCCTTAATAATAATGTAATGAAACAAGTCCTTCACTGACTTGGATTATACACAGCGAACTCGTTTTTCCACGTATACTTAGGGATACGACTAATATATGGTTCGGGTACTCACAAATACGGCTGAATATTCAACCATTTTCCGGATATTTAGGAATATATACTTTCTGAATATTTTCGGGATATTTATTAATACGGTCGGGATTTTTTGCAAATACAGATATTTTCGTTCACATTACCTCACAAACTAAACACGAAAAGAGGCATTTAATTATGTACAGTTCATTATTTTATTAATGCAAATGAGATGTACAATACATGTAAGATTAATCTGATCATAAGGACGTATAACCATGAACTTGGGATGTTGTTCTACTTTGACCTTCCTCGTTTTAGGTTACTTCGGTCCAAAGCCTTCTCTATATTCCGGCTTTGAGGAGGAAGATTGAGCTGCCTTAGTATTATAAATATTGTAAATCATTGTGTCACACGCACAGTAAATATGGCATAATAATATGAAATATACCTTTATGTATAGATTTGAAGAACATCAGCTCACATCCCAGTCTGAATCTATTGTTATATTTGATTTCTTTAAGCGAGAATAATTTCAAATGTTATTCACGTCCAGAACCGGAAGCCATTTTTAGCTGCAGCGAGAAAATTTCACCTTGTGCCAAACTCCGAAATGAAATTTTGAAATATCTAAATCCAGACAAGCAACGCTTCATCCTAAATATGATAAATATTCTTAAAAATATTTATAAAATTTATTAAAAATGAGTTCTAGGTGCGTGTAGGTGCGTGTAGCACAGTACATACGAAATCAATGAAGTTTCGTCTAGCTGTAAGCTAGAGACTCGAGTAAGTTTTAGGTACTGCTGTGGCTGCCATATTATTGTGTGATCAATGTGTGTGGTTATTCTCACTGTTCCACAACTGGATGACTCTAACTGCAGTTAGCTTCATTCAAGATGGTGGACAAAATTCGTTCGTTTTCGATAAATCTCCAATTACAGCCAAACCAAGCTGAATCTTGATCCCAAAAGTTTCGCCATGCAAACTAATAAAGATATAATTGTAAACAACCACAAATAAAGGCTCAAGCACCCGCGATATTAGAGAAATTGAAAGAAAACGTCTTCACTTAGAATGACTCTAACTGAGGTTGATAATGAAGCTAACTCCAACACAGATTTCACCATTGATGACTCTAACTGAATGGAGATTTCAGGCCTGTCAACTGTCCCGCAATTTGCGTATTTGTCACGCATTTGCTGAAGAATTTGAAGTCACGCCAGTTTTTTTTGCGTGACAGAAAATGTCACGCAAATACGCATTTTACCTGGTAATTGTCACGCAAAAATATTTCTGTAGAATTTTTTTCGAAATATGTTTATGATACGGTAAAAATACGAACGTCGGAAAAAAACCGAACGCAATTTGTTCGGATTTATCACGCGAATCCCACATATGTCACGCATGTTCATTGGAAATTTTCGTACCTTGAAGTCACTCATATTAGGTGGTCCCAAGTTGACAGCCCTGAGATTTATAATGGGCTATACAAATTACCAATAAGCAGTTCCGTAACCAGGGGAAGCTGGAGGTTCGGTAGTTTCCCCCTCCCTGGCCAGAAATTATTTCAAATTCCCGTAGGTTTTCACCACTCTGAGCACTTTTCGCACGATTTTCCAAATAAAACTATCAAAAAGCACCCCCCCCCCCCCCCCCCCCGATTCGAATAGCACCAGAGAATATTATCATTCTAAATTGTAAGCGAATGATGGATAAAAAGGGTTTCTTTTATCGTGAAGCAACAATATTGTATACAATAATGTAACAACCTGAATATTGAAGACATGCAGTTAAAGGCAATGTTCATTTTTATTTGTTCAGTGCATTATCAAAATAATAAAAGTGTATACGGTTTACTAAATTATTGCCTATGACAGAATTCACCTTCTTATTCTCCTTTTTTTAAACTTCGAACACATTTCCTTAATTAATGAGATTATTTGTGAGAGACTGTGTTTTGTCATACGCACTGGGCTTTGTCTTGTTATGTAACCACGTGACCACAGATGATGCCTTCCCATGATACTGGTGGTTAATTGTTCTGTGTAAATATACTGGCAATGGATCACACAATGGATAATACGAGATAAACAGCTACTTATAAGTTAAGTCACGGATATATCCTAGGATGTAAATCTAACTGGACCACTACATTGCCCCGAACCGGTCCGTGTTCTCGCTGCAAGCAGATTGCCCCGAACCGGTCCGTCTTCTCGCTGCAAGCAGGATGAAATTCTTTGTCACAAAGTTTGGCATTTTTGATAAAATCAAACGCACGTCATTGAAACTCACAAGATGTAAATAGCATGTCATTTACATCATACCTTGATGGGGAAAAATAGATCTTATATGTTAGAAGTACTAAATAAAAGTTATCGTGAAAATGAGACAGTCGTTCTCGAGAGAAAAGAGCATAAATGCGTATTTAGAGAGTTTTGGTTCGTTAAAAATCTGTAAAAAATTGGGGTACTTAAAAGCATCGGGAGGAATCATATATTTCAAATTAGACACGAGGAAGTCAATATTGAGCAAGTTATGGCTATTTTAAATTCAAATAAAACCGTTAACCCGTACCGGTCCAGCTTTTGACCCGTACCGGTCAATTTTCGTTAGCTGCGTATACCAAGGGTGAATACGCATCAAGACATTTCAATGTATCGTTAGTGAAAGTAAAAGAACTACAAGCAAAGGGAAACAAAGTAATCGCTGACCCGACTTCTATGAAACTGCGACTTAAAAGACAAGCACATGGTATTCAAGGTAAGCTATATAGATGTTTTAATAACTCCAGTGAAACCTCTCCATTGAAACATCTCATAAAATATGAAAATTTGTCAAACTTGAATACTACAAGTCCCTATTAACCATGGAGCTATAGTGAATTGCTTCTTTCACAAGAATACGTCTCGTGTTCTGTTGTGTTCTATAGAACATAGGTAATCAAGTCTACTTCTATCACTAGAACACGCCTCGTGGTTGTCCATAGTGCTCCATAGATCATTGCATCTTCTTTCACTAGAACACATCCATTTGTGGCCCTTAGGGCTATATACGAAATTGAGGTTGTTCTTTCACTAGAACACGTCTCGTGATGGCCCTAAAGGTACTAAATGGGGTTCTTCTTTCACTAGAACACGTCGTCTCCATTTGCAAGTAATTGTGGGTCGAAATAGTCAAATGTAAACCCCTTGGAGTAAAGTAAAAGACGACTATGACTCTGTATCGTGGTGGGTCATTGAACAAAATATAGAATGCTTCTTCTTTCACTAAAACACGTCTCATAGTATGTCAAATGGCTTATTTTACTTTGATTGTGAAACAGCAACTTCGAAAAGCCTACAGTATACCCCGGGATATATAATGTGTATCATGTGTGTGCAAAATAAAAATAATGTCAAAAATGTGGTTTATCATACGTCATTTTACAGAGACTCTGAATAAGAGATATACGCATTCATTCATGTCATTTTATACTCGCAATTGACATACTTATTTTATTTATATTTTACATAGTTGAAGAACAGGCACAATCTCCCATGGAGCGAGCAGATAAACAGATTGCTTTGGATCTGGATGAGACAGAAGGTGAGTTGTCTTTAAATAATTTGACTGAATGGGCTAAATGTTCAAGATTATGTGAGGCAATGGTCTAACTACTGGATACCTGGATACCTGTATATCCCCGTCACGAGTGACAATGGGGACCTTTTAGCAGTTCTCTGGTGACGGCGTTCTCGTCGGACCCTTAGCTTTCAATTTTAACTTATTCTATTTTTCAAATTCAAAAGACATTGTTTTTAACTCCAAGGTGAATAACTAAAATGTGTTTTGTTTGCAATAGACTCTGAATAAGAGATATACGTATTCATTTATGTCATTTTATACTCGTAATTGACATACTTATTTTATTTATATTTTACATAGTGGAAGAACAGGCACAATCTCCCATCGAGCGAGCAGATAAACAGATTGCTTTGGATCTGGATGAGACAGAAGGTGAGTTGTCTTTAAATAATTTGACGCCGTAACTACACTTAATGATTTTTTTATCCCACCGAACGAAGTTCTTAGGGAAATAGAGAAGCCGTCCGTCCGTCTGTGTGTAAGGGCGAAAACTAATTAAAATGCCCGTTTCAT